AAGCTGTGAGTACGTAATGAGTATAATGAGGTCAAGCTGTGAGTACGTAATGAGTATAATGAGGTCAAGCTATGGGTACCAGCAGGTGAATAATGTTCTGCAACACATGCTGTTGTTTGATGCGCGCGAGAAATACCAGCTGATTCATCTACACACACAGTGCAGACTAGGCGTAATATATCATTAAAGATGTGAGAACGAAATGCATCTACATCAGTTCGTTGCACCTTTCAACATTACATTAGGTTCAAGGTTTAGAACAACATTCAAAAATAATTAGTACTAACCTGAATTTTTACTTTAAGCTGTTTTTAACAATCCAAATTTATGATTAAGATTATTTTTATTACTTATATGAAGATGGTAATAGCATGAATATTATTTACGATAGGTTCCGGTGGCTATTTCAGGCATGCAGATTTGACTGCAAGTAGGTTTCCACTTAGTTAGGATGTTGATTGGGTCTGTCATGTAATCTATCGTTATAATATCAATACATGCGAAATATTGCGCATATTTTGATAATACATGCGAATTTAGAATAGTTTATGAGAATTTAGAAAATTATCTGAAACCCTGGTACCTAATTCCTCGAATTTGCGTTCGTTTCCCAGATGCGTTCTCTGTTGCTGTTGTTGGCGCTGACGCAAGGCTACGTCTACGAGCTCTGCGAGCTCGCCAGGCCGGATTATCAAAACTTCGTAACTTTTTGCACTTAGGACAAAAAAGTTATGTGGTACGTAAATACGCCCTAATTTTGGCATTATCAAAATTTTCGTACGCAAGTCTAAGCTAAAAGCGTAAATGTTTTTCCCGCGCAAATGTTTCCCGCTCAAATGTTTTGATAATACCACCGCTAGTATTACGTTGTCATAGCAAAGCCACTCGATCGTAAGTCGATTTTGCGTACTTACGAAGTTGTGATAATAGGCGGATCCACTCGAGTACGGCTCCCCTAGGAGTGAACTCGGCGATTGTGGGTGTCTATGTATTATGTATATATTATGTATTATTATTATGTATAGATTGCATTTTAATGGGAGCAGGTATGAATAAAAATATGAATTCAATATATACAGTAGGCTGGCATGAAATGGTGTCAGCTTTAATTATGTCATTTTGGTTGTTGGCCTATTCTATGCCTCTCGACCACCTTACCGATATCGAACAGAAAAAAAATCAAAAAATAGAGGTTTAATAACACTTCTTTCGTTCGCAAACGTCTATGATTGGCAAAAAATGTAATTTAATCTATGATTTTTCAACGATGTCATTAGTCAACTCCGTGTCCTTGGAAAACTCATGTTTTGTCCTCACCTTCCCAGCAGCCTGCGTGTTCGTATTTTTCTTCTTAACTAGCAATGAGTGTACAATAATGTTTGTTGATATTATGTTGATATTATGTTGATATTTACAGGGGTTTGCCTGGTGCAATGGGAGAGCAGCTACAACACCAATGCCACCAACGTCAACACCAACGACAGCGTCGACTACGGTCTCTTCATGGTGAGATGCTGGAAAATGTATACGTTCACTTATTCTGTTGTTGATGAAGAAGTGAATTTATTCATTCGTTCGTTCTAATTAATCTGATTTCGTTATTGAACTAACATTTTTTTAATAGTCTTAGAAATGAGATAAATCCGAAAATGTTTGTGGCAGTTAAGATTTTAAAACCATAGTCAATAATTGGGTTGGAACCTGATAATATCCAAACACTTGAAATTCTTTTGTCACTCTCAATGTCCACTTTTCCCCCTCGCTAGATCAACGACTACTGCTGGTGCTATTCCAGCTCTCCGTACGCTGACTGCGCCGTCGATTGCCAAGGTATTAAATAAATATAAACATTTTTTATATCTTACTTTACTTATTTATAGGCCTGTGTTATCAATCTCGTGATTGACCTATACTTTGGAATTTTTAATCACTGGATGAAGTTTTTAAATTAACGTTGTTGTTAATCATTCATACCAACAACTAAAAGAAACAAATCCAAAAGCATCAAAACTGAATATTTTAGTCAAATTTTCCTTGATCTTTAATATCGAATAAATATACATTATTTATTTATTAATTTCAAAACTCAAGTCGTTGAAAAAGCGAACTGCATTTATTTATTGAATATCGGCCTAATACGAAAAACTATTTTATCACTCTAATGCTGTGCAGTCGTCAAACAGCCACATTTGATAGCGTTTTAGTGTTCGAGATTGAATCGATCATTGGCATAGAACGTTGAATCAATAATTTATATATGTACTTATTGGCTTTACAGAAGTATGACTACTTTATTATTCATTTTTAGTTCCACTCGACTTACATGTGTCAATAACCTAAAAAAGCAAACGAGTGGGAGATGCAAAGAAACGCAAGGCTCAGAAACCACGTTAATCATTGCATAAAAACCGAACTTTTCAAGACGAAAAGCTTCTCACGAGCATCGAAGCAACGGTAAACTTCTAGAGAACGTCAGAACTGCCTGAGAGCCGCCACGAAGCCAGCAAGGAGTTGTATGCCTGCAAAAGTTCCTAACTAGTTTCAAGAAAATGAGATGGATCGCTTAACTAGTTATATGAATAATACAGAAGCAAAGTTCTGAAAGCTACAAGGTTTACTAGCAATTAGTAAACGTATAACATTCGCTTCTAAAGTTCCAAGTGCCAGAAGCTTGAAGTACGTCATCAAAAAATATGCATAAACTCGTTAAACTGATATTACAAGGCCGGCCAGCGTGACCCTTGAAGGACGAAATTTAGTGGTTGCATGTAAGCATGTCAGGAAATTTATCGTCGTCAGTTAACTTGCTGTTAGAAAGAGGAAACATGGTTATCACTTCTGTTGCGTACCTATTAAATTTAATTAATGAAATTAATTTTCAACAAATGAACTTAATTTTTGTTTTTATGCTATAGGTAAAGGGAACTATAGAATATGATGATAAAAAAATAGTTACTAAGTAAAATTAGAAACCACTTGGGGCTGTACGACAGATGGAGAAAACAAACACAAGACGTGAATTGATGCATACCGGAATAAATGAATTGTTAAATGATACATATTCATATAACTTGATAGAGGGAGTTATTGAACTGCCTTGTTGATCAGCAATTTGGGTGAGAGGTCATTAAATAACCGTATATCAAATCGCCTACAAAATCAATGAAAACTCTTTGAGATCCCAAAACACTGCGATTAATCTTCTCATAATCAAATAATGTCATGAGATCGATTTATTTGATCTCCAGATTATATTGCATACCAAATAAATATTAATTTTAACTCCGCCACACCACAACGATTGCGTTATTTTGGAAACGTTACCGAACATCCAATCTTACGCTGTGAAGAACGCAATTGCCATTTGTCGTCCTCCAATATTTCACAATCGCCTTAACAAAGGATAAACCACGAGTAGTTCTATTACGATTTTTCTTGATGATAAGCTTGGGAACAGATTGCATAATTGTTATTTTTATCATGTTTTCACATATCTATGCAAATTAAATTGGAAGGCGACATTTGCAGATGAAAACAGCGCAATTGTATTTTTTGTTATGTCATAATAAATTAAAGATATGTAGTTTCTTATTTAGGGGTTAAATTATTGAAAAATCTGATAATAGGTGAATCCCAAAAAGATTGTAACGTTTAACATTTTTTTGTGTGTGTGGAACATGCATTAAAGTATAATAAAGTATAATGATAACATGCATATAAAGTATAATGCGCTCAGTTCATACATTTTAAATTCAACTTATACTTCTACTAAAAAATAGAGCTAAATTTATCATATAAATAGAACGGCATCTCAATAAATGCTGCTAAAAAAAACCTACAATAATACGGATTTAATTGATCTGTGCACCTCAGCCAATGATATGTTTAATTCATTTAGGAAATTCAATACGTTTACAATCTTCTCGAAAGCATCAACCTTTTCTTCGGTGTCAGTTTCTGATTATTGATTCAGTGATATGAGTAATTTCAATTTATCAAATAGCCACCGAACAATCGTCATAAAAAATTTTGTGCTTGGTTATGTTAAAGTTTTATTATTTAATTATGTAAAATTCATGTAGACGATTTCCTCAGTAACATTATATAGGCTCAATTTATGAGCGGACGTTTAACTGTATTCCTGTTACTCTCTTAAAAATTATCAAGTGTGCTGCGCGCTCTCTCATTAAATAAAATCTATTCAAATTACATTATTGTATTTCATCATGTCCAATAAATCAAACTTAGTGACAGTACAACCACTCTACATCTAGTTTAGACCAGTTTGCCTGGGTTTATCATATATATTCATTAAAGTTTTTATCAGGGAAGTATGAGAACATCAGCAGGCAGCGATGGGAGTTCTTGCACTGGACTTTTAGCAAGGATATATAGGTCGAGCCTATCACTACATTATCACAGTTTCTTGCAAACAATAACTCGGTACCCAGCTAAAGGTAAGTTTAATTTAAGTTTTCTTAACTTAAATTACTTATTATCATCGCATCACTCAATCTAGTTAATCTCAGCAGTAATCTTTGTAATCTATGTTATTGAATTAATTGTATACATCGACTGGCTTTTCGTTTTAAACTAAAAAAATCTACTTCCACGAAATAAAACCATTTTAAAGTAATAGAACTGATTTATATTATTCAATAGACTTCAAAAAAGCATCAAACAAAATTTCAGAGAATTTTCCGATAAAAATTCAAATTTTCAACGATTTATTGAATTTAGGTAATATCTAAGAGTTCTATAATGTTAATGTTCAATGATAAAAAAGTTTAAAAAATGAATAAACACAGGTACCTGATTTCTCACATTTGTGTTCATTCCCCAGATGCGTTCTCTGTTGCTGTTATTGGCGCTAAGCGCCGGACTGACGCAAGGCTACGTCTACGGACGCTGCGAGCTCGCCAGAGTCCTCTACAGAGACTACGGCTTCCAGCGCGATACCCTCGGCGACTGTTAGTGACTCCACTACAAACGTGTCGTTTTACTTCAATATTTCAATACCTACGTTTCCATTGAAGATATTGGAAACTCTATTGGCGCTTTCATTGCTTTTCAATTCTTGATGAACATGCTATTAAAGCAGACTAATTTATCTCGGTACCTTAAATATATGAGGCTTCAATTTAAGTGGAAATACTTTGCTGTTTTCGTCTGAAAACGTTTTGATCGTTTATAAATTTCTTGCGTATTTTTACAGGGGTTTGCCTTGTGCAATGGGAGAGCAGCTACAACACCAGAGCCACCAACGTCAACACCAACGAAAGCATCGACTACGGTCTCTTCATGGTGAGATGCCAAACAATGTTTTATTTATCGCTATGCTTACCTATTCTGAATACCGCCATAGGATGCTTTAAAGAAAATGCTTTGGGGAGTTATTTCCTAGAGTCCCAAGAGTTTTCTAGGGTTATATTCCGAACCCTACAATGATGTAAGTTATGGTTGAATTTAGGGAAACATTTGAGCAAATATAGTATGTTTAAGGATCTAAAGTTTTAAAAAATTTATCAAAATGTAAGCTATCAGCATAGTTTCATTGCTTACATTTTTACATTGAAAATAACTTTTCAAATAAGAACGTATGATAAGAACTGGTATAAGAGTTTGTGTCCCAACACTCTACAATTTAATGATCTAAATTATTTAGTTTACTAAATAATTTAATTTATTATGTTCTTCAGATTAACGACTACTATTGGTGCTACTCCAGTTCCCCCTACGCCGACTGCAAAGTTGATTGCTCGGGTTGGTTAATGAATCAATTATTAATTCTTTAAATAATTGATTATTTCCCTAAAAGATTATTATTCTAATTATTTATACATGTTATAGATAATTAATTATTAATTAAAATAATAATTATTTACTTAATCAGTTATTTATTTATTTAATTAAAAAATTATTTTTTTATTTAATTAAGTAGTTTTTAATTAAAATAAAAATTATTAATTAATTATTTAGTCAAGTAATTATTCATTTAGAAAAATATTTTCTAATTTTTTAATTATTTAATTCTTTCATCAACTTATTTATTTTTGTATTTTTCACAATTTTTAAGTAATTAATCATTTCATAAGTCATCAATTTAAATCTTCTATTAAAATTTACTATTGAATTAATAGAACTCCGTATGTATCCAACACACTACAGAAATATTTTAGGCAAAGCAATCTGAAACGAAGGCATCAACTTGCCATTGATTCTGTATCGATGCACCGTGGAATAATTTATTGATTAATTATTATATAATTTATTGATTAGACTAGTTTTTTACCGTATTTCTTTAGAACAATTCGATCCATCATTTTTCTTGTAATTATATTGAGGAACAAAAAAATGTTCTTAAATTACTGCATCTGAATGTGGTTATCTCTAAAGTACTTTTGTTTTCGCGCAGCTTTAATCAACGACGACATTGACGACGATGTGTCGTGTGCCGTGCTCATTCAAAAGTAACATAGTGCTGAATCTGCATCTGCATGCATCAG